GTGAAGTAAAAAAAAAAAACAACTGCAACCAGGATTTTTTGATTGTCGCCAAATCTCTTACTTAAAATCAGTTTCTTGTCTTTTTTGTTAGGCACAGCAGAGATGTGAGCAGTGTCATATGGACTTTGGGGAATATTATTGTGACATTTGCCACCTGTTTGACAAAGATAAGAAGCAGTATCACTGTCAGCAGTGTGGGATATGCAGGTGAGAAACTGTTGTACACTGTTATGTGCCATGAAAAACTCTTAAGTAGGCGTTCAAATTTGAATGCCCTAAACTTTGGATCGTACTTGTCCACTTTGCATTTTAAAAGGATAAGTAACATCTCTTCATAACCTGTAGATTAGGTTTTGAGGAGAAATAAATCAATCAAAAAATTAAACAAGTCAAACAAATACCTGAAGCATGTACCATTATCTGACTCCCACCTTTTATGCATGTAACAGGATTGGTGTAGTGTCCTGTCCCTTCATTAGTGATTTTTATCTTCCACAGGATTGGCCCCAGGGAGAAGTATTTCCACTGTGACAAGTGCAATCTCTGTTTAGCACAAGATCTAGAGGGAAACCACAAGGTGATTTTAAAACTGGAATAAAGCATTTACACTGTGTGTACCTTAGTGATGCACAAACATTTCTCCCTCAGTGTCTAATACTTCCCATATTGTTTTATGTTTCAGTGTGTTGAAAATGTGTCAAGGCAGAACTGCCCAGTGTGTATGGAGGTAAAAGAACGTCATCAGGGAACACTAACAAGATGATTTTCTTTCTTTGACGTTTTCATCTCTCTCTTTTTGTATATGCAGGATATTCACACATCCAGAATTGGAGCCCATGTTCTTCAGTGTGGCCATCTTTTACACAAGTATGACTCAATACTCTAATTGTTGACTGATCTTAAGATAAAGTACAAACTGTTTGTAATGCTGTTTGCTTCACAAAATGGAAAATAAAGGTGGCTATGTTTTATATAGAAGTTTCTGGAGATCTTTTATGTCCTTATTATAATAAAGAATTTGATTGTTCTTTGCAGGACCTGCTTTGATGATATGGTCAGAACAGGGTATGTATCCTATGGCACATGTTCTGGTATTTGTTTAAGTTCAGTGCGCATGTTAACATAAAAAGAAGGGGAAAAGGTTTTGGTTGGATCTTTGTAATTAAATGTTTTATATATATATATATATATATATACACATATATATATATACAGTATATATATATATATATATATATATATAAACTGCGATTGNNNNTATAAATTAATTGTTTTGACAAATGTTTTGACAAATTCCACATCAACTCTCTGTGTTCTAGGGCGTACCGCTGCCCCTTATGCATGCACTCTGCCTGGAACATGGAGGAGCAATGGGAGCAGATAGATGAAGAGATATCTCACACACCAATGCCCAGTGAATATCAGAGTGCCATTGTCAAAGTAAGACATTGATAAATATACCTACATAGTCAGTGAAAAGAAACAGTATGAATTTTGCAGTGCTGCCGCCCAGTGTACAATCAGCAACAACAATCAGCCTAATGAATGTGTTATACTTTTAAACATCATCCTGTTAATTGACATGTTTTATATTGGTTTCCTCAATATTCTCCCTAACAGGTTGTATGTAACGACTGCCAGGCTCACTGCACTGTTCGTTTTCATGTGCTGGGCATGAAGTGCAGCAGCTGTGGCTCCTATAACACAGCTCAGGAAGGAGGAATCCTCCAGTATCCCCAGCTTCACGCACAACATCAGCAGCTTGAACTGCAGCTACAGCAGCTACAGCAGCTACAGCAGCAGGAGCGGCAGCAACAGTCAGAGCGGAACCCCGAGGCAGAAACAGACTTGGAGTCTGAGCAGCAAGATTAGATTGAGTAGCACCACTACTTTTCTATTAACACAAACTAGTGAATTTTGGAGGGTAAAGCTGATATTTGTTATGGGAATCTGTTGAAGTCGTAGGAACCCATCTAAACATGCAAAGCCTGGACAAGTTAATATTAGAACGATATTCAAATATCACATGATTATCTCCAAGAAGTGAGGCCATCGGAACAGAACAGTAACTAGACAATATGGGTATTCTTGAAACAAGGTCAGTGCCAGGCCCAGAAACCAGGCTAAGACAGGGACACAGAGTAACACTAACATTGCTGGAGTGGGAACAAAGGGAAAAAAAAGTTTTAGCATCTTTGCAAAATACTCAAAGAAAAATTATATCTCAGATCTCTTAGATCTGTTTCTTGGCTTTAAGCATATGTTTTAAGGATCCCATTCCCTATACCAAAATCTATATAGAGAATCTAACTTTTTTGCTCTAAGTGACACAAAAAAACGCTGATTTACTGCTGTGTCAGTTGCTTTGTGTCAAGTACAACAAAATAACCTGTGTAAACCTTTGAATCATCAAAACCTGTGTGCTGCTATGTGAAATTGATGATTTGCTCCATCAACCTCGGTGTAAAAGTGTGAGCAGTTTTCACACCATATTTATTCAACCTTTAGCGAAGATAGCTTATTTTCCCCTTATGAACAAAATAGAATAATTGTCTTCAGGTGTTTATCCATCTTGTGATCATAAATAAATGAATGTGGGGAGAAATGAGTGTGAGTAATTTTCATTGCTCATGAACCTTACCACATAATTAAATATATTGGAATATATATTTCTACATGTGTAAATATATAGTGATATGTATTTGGCACTCTCCATACAGTCATGTAAAGAAATTGGGACACCCAATTAAATAGTCAGCTTGATATGTTCATATATCAATGTCCAATCTTATTTTTATTTCTGGAAAAGTTATTTAATTACAAAAAACAATTACCATTGTTTTACCCATAGAACAAAAGATATGAACACAAATGCATATTTTAATGGAGGAAAAAGTTAGGACACTCTACCCCCTAACAGCTAGTGTTGCCCCCATTGGCTAAAATAAGAAGTAAGATGCTTCTTGTAGCTGTCTACCAGTGTCTGACATCGATCTGAGAAAGTTTGCCGCACTCCTCAACGCAGATTTCTTTACCACACAGTGACCCGGATCTCAACCCCACAATGGGATTGAGAGCTGGGCTTTGACTTTGCCATTCCTGGACTCTCCACTTCTTATTTTTGAGGCAGTCCTTGGTGGATTTGCTGGTATGCTTTCAGTCATTGTCATGTTTGCGGATCCAGTTCTGCTTCAGCTTTAATTTTTTTACAGATGGTATCACATATTCCTAAAGCACCCTCTGATACAAGGTAGAATTCATGGTGGATTCTATGATGGTGAGTTAGCCAGGTCCTGCTGCAGCAAAGCATCCCTAAACCATGACACTGCCACCTTCTAACAACCATGCTTCACAGTTGGTATGAGGTTCTTTTCTTGGAATGCTGTATTTGGTTTATTTCAAACATGTCTTCTGTTCTGGTGATTCAATTTTAGTCTCGTCTGTCCAAAGAACGTTGTTCCAGATGCCATGGTCTTTGTCTACACTCTCTCTGGCAAACTTCAGTCTGGCCTTAAAGTTTTTCTTAGAAAGCAAAGGTTTCCTCCTTGCACACCTCCCATGAAAGTCAAACTTGTGTGGTCTCTTTCTGATAGTAGAATCATGCACTTTCACATCAACAGTAGCAAGTGCCTGCTGTAGGTCCTGTGATGACATTTTAGGATGTTTGGTTACTTCTTTTAGCATCGTGCGATCTGCTCTGGGGTGAACTTGTTTGGACGGCCGGACCTGGGCATGGTGGCAATTGTTTTGAATGTCTTCCACTTGTAAACAATTTTCCGGATGGTGGAATGGCTGATGTTAAATTCTTTTGAGACCTTTTTAATTCCCTTACCACACTCATAAGCAGCCACACTCTTCTTTCTCAGCTCTTTGAATCTCACCATTGTGCTCACTCTCACTTCAAAAATCAGGGGCACACCAAACTAAATGTCTGAGGTTTAAATAGAACAGGGCTCCTCCTTCGCGGGAGCAGCAGTCACCACCCAAATCACACTGCACCGTACCAACCCCCCTAAAACTTCCTGCAGGTGGTGAGTCCACTGGAAGGTTGATTTAAAACATGACAGCAGAATATGATTTATCTCTGGTATCTTTATTCATTTTATGATCTTGTCTAGTACTAGTCTAAAGTTTTACCACAAACAGTAAATTACTGTATCATTAGAATTAATCAGTGATAAAGTCAAAAAAGTGTAAAAGCACCTTACAATTATAAATCAGGATAGACTAACAATCAGGCAATTAACATACAGAGAATACATTAACAAAATAGTGTGACGTTACGCAACAGGTTACAATAGATTGTTAAAAATCGTTCTATCAATACTGCCAGCTACTGGTTCTGCTGTCCTTCTGTAAAAAATAAAATGTATAAAATACCGACAGGGGGCGCTGTCCGACCAGATGTAACACCGACTGATATGTTGTGATTAATGATTCTGTTTTTATTTTATACAAATACATAATCATAATCTACATACTATAAATTTCTAAAGATAAATACATCTACGATAGAATAAAATAAACATGTTTTTGTATAGTGGTAAAAACGTCCTCAAATGAACTACACCTGCACTGTTTCAATTTAATTCATAGCTCCTAAAACTATAGTGAGGTTTTCACAATAAGGAAAGTATAAAATTAAAAAAATTAAAAATTGCATTAACATGTTGGGGATTTCTGACACAAGGTTGGAACCTAAAGTGGAAAACCTTGTTAGAACTTTTACTCTGGTGGTAAATCAGTTGTTTACTACAACAACAAAAAACAGGTACAGATCTTGGGACATTGTTGCTGATGTCATAAAGATTGAAACCAATGCTGCAAATATCTGCAACAAACATTGGTCAAAGGAATAAAACATGAAGCTGCACTTGAGACAAATCAGATGCCCAGATGTTTTTGAGATCACATGCTATCTCCTCTAGGGAGATTTGGTTCCTGGGTTTTAAACTGAAAAGTGAAACAAACAGGAACTCCGGTCATGGCGGCATTGATGGGGATTGGAAGAGTAGACGAGGAGGAGAATGGATTCAGTGTTGCTTTGTTGTCTGGAAGCGAGGGTGGAGTGGTTTCTTGGAATGTGTCAGTGGTGGTTGTGGTTGAAGAGCCTTGGGGCTGAGTGTTGTCACCACCGGTTCCGATGGTTGTATCAGTTTCTGGCTGCAGCGTTCCTTCGTTGTTGAGCTGAACTTCTGTGGCATCAGTGTGAACCGACTCCTGTGGTGTTTCCTGAGCAGTGTCGGTTCCAGGAGCACTCTGTGATGGATCTTCAGGCAGAAGTTGTAAAGGATCAGTGGGTATTTGTCCAACATCTGGCTCCGGCTGCACTGACGTATCAGCGGTAGCCAGGGAAGGTTCAACATTGGCAGTAGGAAGGACGTCTGCGGTCTGCTGAGCTTCGGTGTTGGGAATGTCAGTCACAGTGCTCTCTGCTTGCTGAGGATCCTGGGAAGGCTCAACATGTGCGGCTGCCTCTTCTGATGAATCAGATTCACTGGACTCTGATGAAGAACCGCCCTCAGTCATCGGCACCTGTTTTTATAACAAGGAAGCAAATCAACTCTCTGTCATTCTATTCATTTTCAACAGAAGTCTGACTTACTGGTTTGGACAGGACTGCAGTCACCATGAGGACAGCACACAGTGTGTTCCATAGAATCGCCATTGCTGTTAAGATAGGAAATTACAATGTAATTAATTACAATGAACAACAATTTCCCCAATATGGAGACAATAAGGAACATGAGCAGAAGGAAGGAAAGTGAACTCCTTGTCACTGTGACACAGCTCACCACAGCACACAACCACTTGTGGCCTCTGCTTTTAACCCATCACCAAAGTGAACAGTGGTCAGCTTTAAGCACCCAAGGAGCAGTGTGTGGGGACGGTGCCATGCTCAGAGCAACTTGGTGGACTCAAACCTGAGACCAAGTTCAATCTAATCCATTCTACTCTAAATTTATTGAAAAATGTATGTATATTTAAAAAAAACTCCTAAAATGAACAAACCAAAAATAAATAAATACCAAGAACAGACAAAGGATGAAAACAAAAGTGCAAAAATGAGGAGCAGAGGGAGCAGGAAGGTGAACAGAAAGAAAAAGAAATGCTGTTTTTAAAGGACTTAAAGTTGGCATAATATACTGAACTATTTAAGATATGAACAATTGCAATCAGACACAAAGCATTCCTTACAATAATTGGTTGAAGACAACGAATGACTCACCTGGATGTGTGGACGATCTCCTTTCTCTGTGTAGCACTTTAGGCAACCAACACAAATGAACCAACTCCACCAAATAGCAGTCCAGTAAGAACTCTCATCTTTTTGTCATGCATTTATATGATCACAGTCCAATGTGTGGGCACATGGATCCAATCATCCATCATCCACTTCAGGTCGTTAAGCATCGTTCACAAACAAAGCTAAGTCCCTGAACACCCCCGGACACGGTCAAATTAAACTGCAGAAGAAATACGCTGACAGTAATAAAAGAATGCAAACACCAGAAGTGTCTATTCATAAGCAAACTTGTGTTTTGTGGTCGTGGAGTAAACAATGGCACCATTTTACTTTGGAAGGACCTGTCACCATTGTCCTAAGTCATGTCTCATCTGAGAGACAACAAAGACAAAGGTTTTTTATATTCCAATTGTTGCCCTTCACTACAACAACATCCTGTATTTACATCCACGCTCATAATTTAAATTCAGCAATCACTCAGGAATCCGTCACCGTCAAGTCAGGAATTTGTCAAGCGAATTAGTGAGACAGGAAGTTGTGTTATTTAGAGTTAGACAAGTAATACTGCAGTACTCCACTGGCAATACGTTGTAAACAATGATCTCAGGAGAAACACCAATAAAATAAGCCAAAATATATTCCACATTTAAAAATGTTTGTGAACATAGGAGTACGCTGAATTTGTACACTGTTTTCAGTGATTAGGTAATGTAATGTGGGGATTATGGCCATTTTAGATAGAAGCTTATTAATCCCTAAAGAGTTCCCTTAAACTCAACCTACATGTGAATAATTATGATCTGTTTGGTGCCGTTAGTAAAGAGAACATCTTACTATAATCCTTCTAAATGTCTAAATTTGTGTCAGTGAACAGGAAAACAAATGCTGATGTGAAGAAAATTAAGTTAAAGCTAATTGGCCAAAAATGATTCCAGAAGGAAATCAAAACAGTCATCTCAGGATTAAAGTTTGTGACCTTGTTTAACCATCCACATGATCGTTAAAAAAAAAACAAAAGTTATTCAAAAATAATGCTAATTTTTTGCTGTTGGTAAATTTAATTATCACTTAGTGTCCTTCTGTAAGCTTTGTTATGTCCTTTGACAGTCATTTCACATTTTATCCAGTGATGCTGAAGAAACCTCACAGGAAACCACAGAAAATGCAGACCATTTATTTAAAACACTACTGTCTGTCCATATTATCAGCCTCAGAACAGAAATGTTTCCACTTCCTGCAGACAAAAAAAAAAAAAATTAGAATTGTCCCACAAGCATAGTGAGACAGAGTGGGACATGGCCATTTTCTGGGAGGTCTACCTCTAGCACCCATGGATCCTCTGGGGCAGGATTTGCAGTGAGGGCGTTCGTTGCTTTGTCCTCCAGGTCCATCATGCTCACTTCCTTAGGAGCAGCTGAGGTCGCTGTTCTGTAGGAGTCAAAGAAAAATGCTAAATATGGCTATATCTATTCAAAAGACCTGCAGGACTGCATTTTTAGGCCAATTTACAAAATTACAAAGGTTAATTTGTTATGATTCTGATGACCTTTTCTCAAAATATTGGTCACAAATGAGTTGGTCAGGCCAATAATCCCTGTATTTAAAATTGCCATTAACACTGGTAAAGCCTTAAACTGGCCAATGGTAACAGGTTAATGAAGGAGAACAGTTTGACAAAACCTCATATCGGCATT